CAGGGAGTTGATCAATCTTGGCAATCATCTTGCGATCCGCTGCCCATTTGTCTTTCAAAGTCTTGGCTTTATCATAATCGATGTCATGCGCTTTCGCAATCCTGTCCAACCGGTTGATGCCGGGATCCCCACGGGCCAATCGTTTCTTTAAATGGGTGCCAGGTCCCATGTACTGATAACCGGGCCAATGAAATTCAATACCCGTCTTGTTGAGAAGGTTTTGCACATCAAATAACTTGCCGCCCCGTTGCGAGCGTCGTCGTCGTCTCGCTCGGGAACGGGGTGGAGCACGACGTTTCCGTCCCATCTTAGGGGGTTTTCCACGATTTCCAATCCAAGGCTTTCTTGGCCCAACCAGCGGCTTTCTTTTTGGCGACACCTGCGGCTTTTTTGCGAATCCCGCGCTTGACCGATTGCTTGATCGAGTCCACACGTTCACTGGGGGTATCCCACGGTTCTGTTCCAGGTTCCTCTGAAAAGGGCAACTCGTGCGCCAACTCGGCACTGCTCAACGGAGTTGTAGGGGTTGTGAACTTGAGTTTCTTTTTGGCACTGGGCGTGATCTTTGGTTTAGGCGGGACAGGGGGTTTTCTGGGTCCACGAGTCGGGGTGCCTTGTTTTATACCCTGGGTGGCCTTGACCAATTGTGTAAACCAGGCTTGCATCGGGCCCGCCTCAAAATCATCGTCGCCCGGCGTCGTGGCTCCTGCCGCACTCACACCCCCAGCTGGGGCTCCAAACGGTTGGCGCACTTTTTTGGTCCAATGGCGTAATTGACGGCTCACGGCTTTGAGTTGAGGCCGTTTCCAAGCATCGGGGGCATCACTGGTCAAGAGGACATGTTGTTTGGCGGCTAAATCAGCGGCTTTGGTCAAGCGGGTATCTTCCACCAATTCTTGTTTGTACTGGTCTCGCAATTGTAAAAAAGCCGGGGCGTTGTCCACCGTGGTGCTCACCATCTCGGGTTCCATGGTGCAACTGAGGAGTCTGGTCTAGCGCATGCAACGTTTATAACATCGGTAGAGTTCCGGCCAGAGGGCACCCCCTTTTTGAGCCATCATGATGGCGCGTCGTCGTTTGACAGAATGGGCGGGTTTGGCCATGGCGCGTAAACTCTGAGCGTGAGGTTTGAGCAACGTAATGGTCTGTCGGGAACGGGGCACCGTGCCACGGAGGGTGTTCATCACCAATTCACTGACAGCATTGATCTGATCCGCATTGGCCATCCGCAACAATTCTTGGCGTTTGTGTTGATTGGCTTCTTGTAAGACACTTTTTAAGAACGGGGCTTGACGTTCCATGCGCCACCCCATGATGAATCTTGAGTTCAGGCAAGGACCAAGGTCTATTTATGGTAAAAATGGCGCCACACCGACCACACAATTCGCCATGATAATGCGTTTGCATGTGATTCCGACACCGTGCACACAAGGCGGCTTCATACTGGTCGTCCCAATCCAACGCAAACGTGACGGCTTTGCGTTTAGGGTTAGTCCGGGCGTCGAATGCGGATTCTGGGTTTGTATTTTCTGAGCCACAAAGGCGAGAGAGCCATTGCCAAAAGCGGTAACTTAGCGCCGCGTTGCAAGCCACGTCGTCGGCGTCGTTTTCGAGGGACATAACGATGTCGGCGACCGTTGGGTCCACGGACCATCCTCAATTGAAATCTTGTGTCCCACCAAGCGTTTCTTTTATAGCTTTTATAGCCTTTTCAGCGTTTCAAACCCACCCCAACCCGGCATTCGATTGAACATTTGCTGGACCCGTCGTTGATTGGCGGCCATTTGCGCTGCGCTGATCTTGCCCACTTTTTTTTTCTTCTTCTTCATGAGGACGGCTGCAGCAACAGCCGCGGGAATGAGAAGCGGGAGAATACCCCCTTGTTGTTTTCGGCGTCGTTTTCGTCGTCGTCGTGGACCACAGTGCATGATGATGATGATCTGTCCGATGGAGGACACACCTTTGGTCTTTTATAGTGTTCACATGATGGAACAATTAAAGGATTCCCCCGCGTATTTTTTCCGTTTGCCGGAGGCCACTTCTCGTCGACGTTTTTCGCCAATGGCGATGGCACGCTTGGTTTGATGATCCCCGATGGCTTTGGTGATCCCATAGCCGGCTTTGAGAATGCCCATAGGCAGACTGGCCGCGACACCCCCGACTTGACTCACACGCCGTCGTCGTTTGGCGGGTCGTCGTGTCGTCCTGCGTTGGCGTTTGCGTCGAGGGCCCATCGCGTGTCGACATTCACCACACATTTTTGGGACGATAGAAGGGAAGCCACGGTTTTTATACCTTTTATGAAGAACTGCCTCCTCGTCCACGGGCTCGGCCCCGTCCGCGTGCTCGGCCACGGCCACGGCCCCGTCCTCGGCGTGGTGGTCTGGGTGGACTTGGGCTGGAGGTTCGGGTGGACGTGCGGCGCACCGAGGGACGACCCCCCTCTTCGTAGACGGTGGTGACGGTATTGGTGTGCGTGATGTTGCGAATCCGTCGACCTCGTGCCCGTTCTTGAGCATCTTCATTGAGCAAATCCAACCGTCGCCTTAATCCTCGCCGTCGATCGTCATCATCATCATCGCCATCCTCGTCATCAGACGGAGGGGACGAATCGGGGGACGGTGGGGAGGGCACTCTGGGGCGCCGTCGCGGTTGTTTGGCGGCGATGGTGGGGCGTCCAGTGGGGGTCGTCACCGTGGAGGTGGTGGTCCTGGTCCCTGCCCCTGCACTGCGGCGGCTGGTGGAGGGGCGGGAAGGCGCGGTGGTGGTCGTGGCGGTTGTGGCGGGGCGTGTTCGAGTGGACGTGACGGGTCGTGGTCGACTGGTGGTAGTAGTAGTGGTGGGACGAGTTCGGGTGGATGTGGTGGGACGGGTTGGGGCAGCCGTGGTAGTGATGGTGGGTGGTGGTGGTGGCGCCGTGGTGGTGGCGGGGGCAGTGCCAGTGCCTGCCACGGGCGGGAGCGTGAATGCATTCAAGGCATCGTCTACATTGACCGGATAGGTCAAATTGAAATCGTCAATGTCTTGCTCCAATTGGGCACGATCCACGGGTCGAGACAATTCGGCCACCATGTCCGTCATGCTGCTGAGATCCCGGAGAACCGAAAGGGAGCCCACCCCCGCGGGCGAGAGGGTCGGTGTGTCCATGCGAGCGGCTAACTCAGTATGTTGTCCGCCTTCTCTTTGCCGGCGGACCCTGGCGAGTTCTCGTTGCAGGGCGTTGTCGAACGGCAGGGACATCCGCACGCAAGGTGTGAACTTGCGCTTTACCTTCTCGAGGCGTTAAATGACTCCACAGGCGATAGCGATCATCCGACGCCGGATGTACATCCAACATCAAATAGCCAAAGGGACGGGCCGTGATGCGTTTAAATAGGCGCAAGACTTGACGCCACCGATCCGGAAAGGCTTGCAATAAAATCGTCCGTATGCCTGTTTGATCCCGGGGGTTTTTGAAGGCCACAATGTAATGCGCGTTGCGATTGATGGTCTTGGAAAATTTGCCCGGCGGGAATAAATCTTGCGTCAAATACAGCACCGTGATGTTACGATGATGCGAATCTTTGGTGAACAAATCCAACACGCGCTTGTCTTGTCCCCCTTCTTCCATCAGGTCGTCCAAGACCAACACCCCGCCGCGCGTCCGACCAAACCATTGCGTCAAATGACGGGGGTCCGGTAATCCGCGATGAAACTGAATCCCCTCTTTTTTTTGCATACGCTCGAATCGGGGTTGCCAGCGATCATAGGCATACACAATCTTGCGGGGTTTGACTTGAAAGACGTTCAGGTACCGTAACCATTGTTCCACCAAGTCACTTTTGCCACTGCCCGATGGGCCCGCGATGATCACACTGCTAGGTTGTCGGATCATGATTCCCACGGTCGAGGGTGACGCCGATAATGACCGGTGGCCCCTTTAGCACCCATGCGTTTATACCGTTTGTCCCGTCCCAATTGGTCGCCAATTTTATAGGCTTTGGCCAACACGCTCATGATGCCTCGTCCGTTTTGGCGAAAGCGGGGTCGTCGGGTGCGCTGTCGTCGTCGTCGTCGTCTGGGCATGCCGTCCAATAGTCGCGGTATAAGCGAGGCGATTCGGACTGGATCAGTCCTTCCATGGTTTCTCTTAAATACGTTTCGCTCATGCTGTCCATATACTGTTTGAGGGAGACCCAATCTTGGTCTTGTGCCAATTGTCGGGCCATGAGCCAATGATACCCATCCCAGGCATCGATGCCGCGCACCGTATTGACCTTTTCGATGGGGTGTTCCCACCAATACAAGGTTTCTTCGAGAATAAACGCATCCACCACACGCTGGACATCGGCTCGCGTAATCATGATGAACTACAATGACCACTCGTGGACCACACACTTCGTTTTTATGGGTTTTTATTTTCAACACTCACAATGATGACAAGTGATAAAGGCCTGGCGGCTCACATTCTTTTGCCCCCCGTCAGGTCGGGCATCGACTTCATCTTGTAATTCCCGTTTGATCACCCGTTTCAACTGCTCGGCCACTTTTTGATCATTCAACACTAAATTGTCGCAACTCCATTGACTTAAAAATTCTTGATACGACCGTCCTTGCGCCCGGGCTTTCAAGAAAAATAACGCATAATGGCCACAGGTTTGACTATCCAGGGCTTGCAGGGTTTGGTCACTGCGTGTCAGGTACTTCCATTGACCCCACCATTGATGCAACTCCGGGTTGGTGTACACGTGCAGGGGTAGCCCATAACTGTCAAAGATCTCGCACTGGTTCTTTTCCGTCCACAGACCCAACCAATGCTGTCCCGGTTCTCCCGCTGGATCGGTGTTGACAATGTAGGCTTGACGGACACTCATGGCGGGGGATCGGGGGAGTTGGTCAGCCGGGTGCACCCCATGAAACACGCGTCGTAATGCGGGATCCTCCAAGGCCAGGGTCCGCAACACAGTATCGCTGAGCGCCACAAACTCCATGACCGGTGTCTTCTGATGTCTGAGGTTATATCATCCGTTGATGTTGTATTTTATACCTCCCAGATGATTGATCTCGTACATGTTTTCATACTCGCTCCACACCAACACGGTGATGTTATGACCCACGGCCGCGGCAAAATCAATCACCAGTCGCGTATTGCCCGATTGACGGGGGTTGCGATACTGGGGGTCATCTGCTTTTCCACTGGGTACATTGTTGAACATAAACAACGTGCAATTCTTGCCTTGTCCCCAATCACCAGGCAGTAGCATGGGGATCTTGTCTTCATTGTAAGCACCCATGGCTTGTAGAAATCGATCGTAGCCCAGCAGATCTTCATAGGCTTGGTCTCCAGTCAATTGCAGGGTTCTGTAAGGGTATTCTTCTCCATTCAAGGTCTGTCGTACTTGGGTGACGCCAAACTTTTGAAAGGCAAAGGGGTATCTTTCTAGGTCTCCATTGAAGGCATCCGAATGCAATAATCCCACCATCACTCGATCAGGAAATCGACCCACAAACACATTGTCTTGTTCCCACTGGGTGGTGCGCCCATCAAAGGAAAACGTGCGAATTTCGCTTCGTACGACAGGGTAGCGGGCAATCTGTTTGCCCAGCTGTCTTTCTTTCTGCAGTCTGACATAGACGCTGGCATTCAAGGTCACTTTTTTCATCAACAAGGTGACTTTGATGTCATTGTTATGGATGGCTGGAATTTTCTTGGTGGTCAAGGTGCCTTTGTTAGGGCTGCCCATCAAGTAGATGGTCTTGGGGTTCAGGAAGAGTTCAAAGTCCAACTGAACATTGGGGACCAACAATTTGCCTGTCTTGAGGGGTGGCAAATGGGGACGAACGATGAAGGTGTGCCAATTTTCACTCAGCAACTTGCTGGTCAGGGTTCGCAAGTCTGCATTGCCACTCCAATTCGCGGCGACGGGGACATCGGAATTGGCGGCTGTGGCTCCTATTTCTGCTGCCACATTGAGCTGATTGATCCATCCTTGCGGGGCTAGCTTGGTGGCTCCTTCTTCTCGGTTGTAATTCAGGAGGGTTTCTAGGTAGGCTCTGTAATGGTAGGTGTTGCTCTGTTCAGTCATGAGGACGCCATTCATGCTCAGGGTAATGTCTCGAAAGATGGTGTGACCGAAATTGTTGACGCAGTAGACGTGTCTGCTTTCGTTGGCATTGGAAATGAGCAGACCAGCATGCAATCCTGTATACCCAGCGGCGGGATCGGTCAGGCGTACTTTGACTTTGAATCGGAGAGAATTGAGATCGTAATAATCGTCGGAGCCTGGAATGGAGAAGGTGATGGGTTGGATGCCCGTCAAGGCGGGTTGAAACTCCACCTCCCGCGAGGCTTCGTACCGATAATCCACATCGGGCACGTCAAACAGACTGAGCGACATGATGCGATCTGTCCACGTTGCTCAACGGCGTCCTCTTTTTATACCCTTTCGCCTACGTTGCTTCCTGGCTTTGGCTTGGTTAGCCCACAACACTTTTCGGAGATCCCCCGGTCCAAAGATCGTGCCCCCTTTCATGCGGCGCAAGGCTTGCTTCACCCTCCAGGGTGCAGGGTTGATCCCATCTGTCGCCGTGGGGAACCCCAAAGGATTATTGCGCCTGCGGGTGAACTTGCCAAAAATCGTGCCCCCTTTCATGCGGCGCAGGGCCTGCTTCACCCTCCAGGGTTCGGGGTTGATCCGATGCGTCGTATTCATCAGGGGATAGCGCGCCATGGTCGACTTGCCAAAAATCGTGCCCCCCACTTGATACGGCGAAATGAACCGTCCACGGGCGCGTTGCCGTCGAATACGATTTTGCGATTTGAGAAAGCCTCCTACACGTACCATTTTTTCACAGTCCAAAGATATCCCGTACGCGTTGCGTGGCTCTTTTATAGGTATTTTGGGCCGTCCGTTTGACCTTGTGTTTGCCAGCCGTCCAAGCCATGGCAGGGGCTTTGCGTTTCAAGCCGCGGCTGAGTTGGGCACTTCGATCGGCCCAGGTGTCTGCGGCACTCTTGCCTCGTTGAATATCTTGCAGTCCCGCTTGAGCTTGCTGCACGATCAGGGGTCCCGCCAGTTTGATCAAGTCTTCGGCCAAGCCTTTGCCCTCTTGCTGGGTGAGCACGGGCGTATGGTACCGCGTTAAACTGCCTCCGCGCATCTTGAGTCAAGTGTTTTTTTGGCCCTTGAACGGGTGTGGTTGGCTTTTTATAGCTGTTTGAGACCAATGGTCACCAGGGTTTTGCCCGGGGGTAAGATGGCCAGGGGTCCACTGGTACTGGCAATCTCCACTTCTAAGATATCCAATTGATTTCCTCGCACTTTGATCCATTGATGGTGCAAGGGTTCGGCCGTGCTTTCTCCTTCCCCCGTTCTCAACAATTGCACTTCCCGTAACAGGGGATACTTGCCACTCCCCACCACGGTGGATTCGACCAGATCCGAATAGACCATGACGGTGCGTTTGCTGGTTCCCACCATCTTTTCAAACGACGCATCCAGGTTGTTGAACTGCCATTCTACCATCCTGGACAAAAGAAGCCGTTTTCCTTTCACCTCAAACATTTGATCTATATCGTCGTCATCGGTCAAATCCTTGGGTAGCATCCCGGCATAATGCTCTCCATTCCAATTGAGATCCGCGCGAACAGAGGGGTAGGAACTGTGGTCTGGCGGGGTTTGGCTCGTGTAGGTCACGGTAGGGCACGTGAATTGGAGATTGGGCCCCAGCACATACCCCTCATCCACCCCTGCGGGTTTTTCAACGAAGCCAAACCTTTTCGCTATCTCCAGGTCCATCATGAAAGCGCTCGTGACTTTGCTCTTGTTGGCATTCATCAAGTCTTCTTTACCCACGGCATGCAGCACCAAGGCATCGCCTTTCCAGCTCATCATAGGCATCCAGTTCTTTTTCACACTGACTACGGGAAATTGATCACTATGATGGCTCATGGCAGCACTTTGTTGGTTGATCAATGCCTGCATGATCTTGTTATGCACTGCCTGCATCACGCGTTTCCAAAACTCACTGCCGGTGGTCACAGACTGTTTGGCACTCATGATCTCTTCCAATTCCACTCCATAATCCTTTTTCTTGATTTCGACCTGTTTGTACGACCCAGTTACCCATTTGCGTGTCAAGAACGTGAGGCTTATTTTGACGACTTTGGTGTGAGGATCCGTGGCAATGACGGCATTGCTCTGGCCTTGATCCGGCACGGTCAGGGACAATAGGGAGGCATGCCAGCCTGCGCCCGGTAAGCTCAGGCGTTCGGGCAGACGGACCTTGAAACTGTTGTTGGCATTGTTGGGAAACTCGTCGGTCGGATCGCTGATGAGCGTCAAGCGTTTAATCTCACTCATAATGATGAAGAAGAGGCACGCCCCCCAGGGTGCAGGGTCCTTTTATAGCCAAGTCGCCACTTTCTGTTTACTGCGAGGGACGCGTCCCACCACTGAATTGAAGGTCGATTGTTTGGGATGAAAACACACTTGCTGAGCAATGTTGGGAAAGGCCCGGGCCAGTTCCATCAGGGTCATGCAGGTCTTTGGTTTAGGGGGTTTCTTCTTGCGCATGGGTGGATGACGACCGGCGCGTCGACGTTGTTGTTTTTTCTTGGGTGGGGACCGTAGAGCCCCTCGTTGCTTGGCATACTCCTCCGCTCGATGGTAGGCATTGGCGTAGGCCCATTGCTGCTTGGTGGGACTGGCCAACTTTTCCCACCACGGTTGGGTTTGCCGTTGTTCCGCGGCTTTTTTCTGGATGAAGTTCATAATGTCGGCGTCCGTGGTAGGGGGTGGCGTGTAACTGGCCCTCGGTCGACTGGAATCCGCCAGGACTTCATCGAGAAACCGTACCCGCTTTTTTCTTTTTCGAGGCGTTATTTTGACGCGGACCATGTTGCGCGGGAATCCAACTATCGTACTTGGCCGGCCACCCTTTCCACCGGACCAAGACCTGACGTCCTTTTCGTTTCAAGACTTTTTCGACTCGAAATAACGAATCGTCCGACACTTGGACTTTTTGCACATCGGGTTCGTAAAACGTGCCTTTTATAGGTGTGCCGTCCCATTCACTGAGTCGATAGGTGACCACAGGATGACGACGCACATGCGTGACCACAAACACTTCTTCCGTCCAGCCCGGCAAATACCCTTTTTTGAAGGGACGATGTTTCTTGTTGAGACGCACCCGATCGCCCACGCGACATTTGGGTGGGGGGATCTTGGACTTCAACCGTGATCCATAGAGTCGATCCCATACCTCGGACTCGTTTCTAAAGGTGACTTGATGCGGCGCTAACCCAATACTGCGATGATAGGCGTGATTGTAGGTATAGATTAAGGGTTGCAAGACGTCCACGTACCGTAACGTATTGTGCGCGGTGAAAGTCAAGTCAATCTTTCAAGTCAAGTCAATCTTTATTTAAACACGGTAAAATCCATCAGGAATTTAAAAAATTAAAAATAACCTAACTATCCTAAACAAAATTCAAAACCTGACTACAACTAATCTAACTAAAACCTGTTTTTCATGAATGCCGTGTATAACATTAAAAGTGAACATTAACTAATCTTTTAAATTGACTAAGAGATTCGGCTTCTCTCACATGACAGGGTAGGCTGTTCCAGAGAACTGCTCCGCTATAAGTAAAGCTGTTTTTCATGAAATTAGTTCGCGGAAATGGGACAAATAGTTTGTTAACAGAGTCCCTCAGGGAGTAACGCGTTTCATTTCGTTTAACAAACTTAGATGATAAATATTCAGGAACAAGGCCATTTAAAGACTTGTATACCATTATGGATTTCTGTATTTGAAATTGAGTGCTCAAGTCTTTCCAATCGAGTTGTCTAATCAAACGGTTAGCATCAGCATCATAGCTAGAGAAGGTTAAAACGCGAGCGGCACGGTTCTGAAGCTTCTGTAGCCTGTCAAATAATGTTTTACCACAATTACCCCAGACAAGATTGCAATAATCGAAATGAGATTGAATTAGTGAGTTGTATATATAGTGAAGGGTAGGTGGAGGGACAAAAGGTCTAATTCTTTTTATTGCTCCAATTCCGGAAGCGACCTTTTTAGATAATTTATCAATGTGTGTTTGCCACCGTAGATTTTCATCAATAAATATTCCAAGCGATTTGACAGAGGAAACGTGTTCTATCGGAACATTATTAATCGAGAGCTCAAGTGGGTTCGACAAAGTACTCAATTTTTGTCTGGAGCCAATTAGCATGAATTCAGTTTTAGAAGTGTTCAAAGTAAGTTTATTGGAAATAAGCCATTTGTTTAGGTTATCTAAATCGTGACTCAGAGTTAACTGTATTGAATTCACATCAACGCCAGCATAAGTAATGTGGGTGTCATCGGCATACATTCTAGGCTGGCACGAAGTAAGGCAGTTTGGCAAGTCATTAATATAAATAAGAAATAAAAAGGGGCCAAGGATTGTTCCTTGCGGTACCCCACATTTAAGAGAGCAGATTCTAGAAAGAGAACCGTTAACAAGACATCGTTGTGTACGATTAGTTAAATACGACCTAAACCAATCAAGAGCTGTACCTTGTATTCCGTAAAGGTTCATTTTAGCTAGAAGGATATCGTGGTCAACGGTGTCGAAAGCCTTTTTAAATCGAGGAAAACCACAGCATTAACATTGCCACGATCAATATTAAAGGCCCAATTATCCGTAGCTTCCAGAAGGGCAGTTGCAGTTGAGTGTAACGAGCGAAAACCCGATTGATGATTAGAAATGATATCTTCATTGGTCAAAAAAGTTATACAACTGATCATAAACAATCCTTTCAAACACTTTAGCTATAACGGAAATGACTGAAATAGGTCGATAATTATTCAGATCAGATGGCTCACCTTCCTTGAACAACGGAGTAACTCTAGCACATTTCCAATCATCAGGAAATATACCAGAGACTAAAGATTTATTAAAGAGATCACATAGTGAAACTGAAATAAGATCAGCACATTCACGTACAATTTTAGCAGAAATATTATCAAGACCAGTTGCTTTAGATCTACATAATTTGTTTAGATGTGAGAAAACAATGCTGCAGTTAGTCGAGGAGAAGCTGAAATTGTTGTTATTTACCTTTATATTATTGATATAACTTGAATTATTTTCAGCAGTTAGAGGTATTTCATTAGCAAGTCTGGGCCCAATTGTTGAAAAATGGTCATTAAAAGCATCAGAAAGCTCACTAGAATTAGAGATAATGGTATCATTCAATTTCAGTTCTTTCACCGTTGTATTATTCACACGACGGGATGTAAGCTCATTAAAGGTTTGCCACGTTTTTCGAGGATTACCCTTAGATTGAATAAATGCATTAGAATAATAAGATGCTTTAGAAATTTTGATGTCATTGTTTATTATATTTCGCAACTTTTTGTACCTTTTCCAATCGTGTGGATCATTCGATGTAATTGCTTTTCTTTTGGCAGCATCACGATCACGCATGCCTTTCTTTAATTCTGAATTGATCCAGGGTGCTTTATTTGTTCTAGTACGTCTAGTTCGGAGTGGCGCATGAATATTAACAATATCCAAAAACTTCGTTTTCCAGTCAGTCCACAAAACATTTGGATCTTCAGAAACATTACAGGACCAGTCTTGCTGAGCGATATCGTTACGAAAACTCTCTCTATTAAAATTTTGGAAATTTCTATAAGAAATGGTTGAGTGCCCTTTTGAAGGAAAAGTGAGAGATAATTTCCTATAAACGTAAATAAGGCTATGATCGCTGATACCAATATGAGAGACTCCGGAACAGACTACCCTGTCAGTATAGTTTGTATAAATTAAATCAATTAATGTTGAAGAGGATTCCGTTATGCGAGTAGGTTGAGTTATAAGCTGTTGAAGCCCAAATAAATCAGAAATTTCACATAAGCGTCGAGTATTTAAATCATATTGTGCAGAGGCCAGGTTACAGTTTAAATCACCTAGCAGATAATATTCTAGGCCGAGGGAATCTAATTTCTCAAGAAATGATTCGTAATGTAAAAATAAATCAATTGAGGAGCAAGGAGGTCTGTACCAAGTGGCTATCAGAAATGGCCTGGAGTTTGGTTTCCGAATCTCTATACATAAATTTTCAAGACTGGGTGCATTCAAATCAGAGCGAACTCCAAAATTAATCGAGGTTTTTATATAAAACCTACTCCTCCTCCTTGTCTGTTTCTATCACGACGAATAAATTCATAGCCTGGTATTTGGACCTCACAACTATTGATAGAGTCATCAAGTTTAGTTTCATTAATTGAGAGAATATCAATGGAGCGATCGGCAAGGAGAATTCTTAGTTCATCAATATGCTTTGTAAGACTATTAATGTTTAAACCTGCAATTTTAAAACCACGACCAGAAGGAAGAAAATCAGAGAGAATTGTACTTTCAAATGAATCAACGTTTTGATTAGGAATACCTGATGATACGTCACTCGGTTGAGAAGCTAGCGTGGGCGTCTCCTGTTGCGAGCTGGAGGGAAGGTTTCCCAGTTCCATCAGAAGCTTTACCAGTTGTTGGATAGCTGAGGACTGAAAACCCTTAAGAGACTGATTATACTTGCCAGAACCAGATCTTAAAAACTTAATAAATTGCACGGCCAGCAATGACGAACCTTTGGCATTCAGATGAAGTCTACTACCATTTAATGCTGAGGCGTCAATAACCGAATTATCAATATAAGTAAAGTTATCATCTACTGCTGTGAGCTTGACCCTCTCATTAACTTCAATGCGTTTAGCATCGACGTTGATATCTTCTCTGTAGACTATACCCGAGAGACCAATGCTTGAGTTAGGAAACTTGCTCTTCACCTTCAATACAAGGCTCTTGATATCGGCGACACATGAATCGGCAGACTCCGATGGAAGATTGTTGGTGCCAGTATGGATGATGACGTGAGAAGGATCCGCGGATGCAACAGCGATGTTGTCAACAGCTTCAGCTATTTCAGCAGTGGTTTTCCGGGATAAGAGAATTTATGTACATGTCTTTGCGAAAGCTTTTTGGATCAATGTGTTTTATCATTGAGTCACCAATAAGCACTATGGGTCTTGTCTTTCCGACTTCACCGCTTTTGGAGTTATTTGCACTAACTCGAGAGGTATTTGCGTGCCCTCCAGACTGATGCAGTGGCATCTCAGAGGATACTTGACTCGAAGGAGAAGAGACAAGTAAGGCCTGATAGCGGTTATGACTAGTTGGAATTGAATCAAATGCCCGGCTCGCTTCAGATGAATCAACATGTGAATGTTGCTGTTGCTGTTGTTGGCGACTTTCTTCGTTATTTGCAGTATAGTTGTCCTCATTTCTCACTTGGAATTGTACCTCACTTCTAAGGGGCTCAAATCTGTTCTGAGTTTCTATATTGCAGGCCGCCAACGGCCGTTGGATATGTTTATCATTCACACTTTTCCCAAGTGTGCCCACTTGGGACCAACAATCACATATCTTTTGTTGGCGGCATTCGCCCTCGCTTCTTTCTTGCATAATGATCTTCATTGCCAGCTTAAGAGAATCATTTTCTTGTTGCAAGGACAAAACTTGGCTCTCATAGGAAAAACACTTTTCCTCCAACACCTCAATTTCATTATCTTTTTTAGATAATGTCGATAACACCTTCTCATACCTCTCTTTGTAATCGAGGAGCTCGGCGCTAAAAGCGGTTTCTTGTAATTTGCATTTCGTCGACAGAAGGCTTGTATTTGCTTCAACCTTTTTCTGAAGAATTAGTAAATCCAGTTTTAAGCCCTCAATATCAGCACTGATAACCGAGTTCGATCGCTCTTGAATACTGTTCTCAAGTCCGGCGTCGGCGGCCGAAGCTAGTCGATTACTGCAGATGCCATTGGCTTCTTGCGAAGGCGGAATTTCTTGCTCGGTTGTTGAAGCATCCGAGACAGGCGTATCAGCTTCTGTTCCCTGTTTATTTTGAATAAACTTGACCAACTTGTCCTTTAAGGAGGGACCATCTCGACCTTGGAAACAAAGGGTTAGCTGTTTCTTATTATACCAGTTGATGACGAGATTATTGTTAGAACTTTTGAATTGCTTTACGTTTCCTCCGGGCGACGACCACTTTCCTTGTAGTTTCAAGCCATTTTCCACAAAATTCTTTAACGATTCAAGGTTATTCGTCCACGTTAATCGTTCCCCGTTTAGCTTAAGGGATTGTAATTCGCACCATTTAAGGTTAAGCTGGTAAGACTCGGTATCTTTCGTCAAAACGGGACCAGAAGGTTCACGTCCGTCCGCCATGGTTCACGTCACGTCAATGAAATACCGGTACATGCGTTGTTTCAAGGTGCGATGCCATCGTTCCACCACCGAGGCCTTGCTATCCCCATACGTGTGAAAATGATGCCAATCGTGTTTCTTGAACCAGGCTTGGACCTTTCGATTCAAAAATTCTTGGCCTTGATCTGTTTGCACGCGGAGGGGTCGTCGTGGGGAGGCTCGTCGGCGTATGGCTTCCAACCCTTTGATCATGTTGGGGGCACTTTTCGATTTGATGGGCACGGCCCAGGCATACTTGGACAAGACGTCGATGACCGTTAACAAATATTTGTTCCCCTGATTCCACCGACTGAGTTTTTGCATGTCCACTAAATCCATCTGCCATTGTTCGTCTCGGCCAAAGACCAATGTGGGTGTGGTGGGAAACCGCGTCCGTCGGGGTTTGTGGAGCGTATAGCTCAACACGGATTGAAGAATCTGTTGCGCTTGCGGAGTTTTCAATTTATGGGCTTGGGCAAAGGGTTGGACCCCACCCAAGGCCCCAGGTGCTTGGGGATCTTCGTAAGCGTGTGGCAACGACATCAAGACACTGACACACGATTCGAGCCAATTTCTGTCTTTAATAGTTTTTTTCATAAACACCTACATGTTTTCAAAACAAACACGAGCTCCCAAAGTTTTTATGAAAATGGCGTCTTCTCTCAAACTCTCGCTCCTGGGCTTCGACAGAATCGCCAAACTGTTTCATCCACGGATCATGCTTTATCTTTTCCATGGCTGGGTCTGGCCTCTCACCATAACGCATCTCTACAGAGTGCATTCCCCAGGGTCTCTCCTTCTCGGGGTCTTTCATAAGCTTGTGTTGGAGCCTGTATTGGAGCTCAGGGGGTGTGTCTACCACCCATCGTCTCAGGGTCGGTTGCGCTTGTTCACGGGGACTCCATAGGGGTCCATGGAGCCATTGAAAGTAACCGCAGGGTTTGGCATGGGTGAGAAAGCTCCCACAACTGAAAAACACTTTGTTGTAATTTTTGGCCGTGCGACTCAATTTCATCTTAGGGACCAACCCACATTTGCACTTGAGCTCTCCGTGTTTCAAACGGGTATGGACTTGAGGATGCGTGTCGTTTTTCAAGGCCTCCATCATCACCTCCCGCGTGTCTTCAAACAAATAGACCGGACACCCTGGTTGGGGACACTTGAACCGCAAGGGACCAAATTGGGCTTGGGGGTTGACACATGCAATGAATTGATGGGGATGAAATGGGCATGCTTCATACAGGAGTTGGTTGAGCTGGGTGTCCATCTGGTCCAGGACTTCCCATTCCCCCACTTCTGTCGCTGGATCCGAGTGAAACGTCCCTTCCTCCACACACTCTTCTTCATACTCTTTTAGGGTGCCCTCCATCAGGTCGTTGATGGGAGAGGGTGTAGGGGGTGGGTCCTCCGCTCGGGGTAGAGCCTTCATGGCCACCATGAGTTGACTCGTCGGGGGTTGAGTGGCTTTCTTCTCTAGGAGTTCAGCTCGGGAGAGGGCCTTCAGAGCCACCGAGAGTTCACTGGACGGGTCTTGAAGGACGTTCTTCTCTAGGGCTTCGGCTTCAGGTCGGGACAAACCGATCTGAGTCATCTCCAGATCACGGGTGGCTTTCATCTCCAGTTCACGAGCGGCTTTCAGGTCCAGGGCTGGCGCTTCTTCTTTGGGTTTCTTACTACTCACGCGACGTCGTTTGCGTCCCGAAGGCACCGCTGCAGGTTGAGTGGCTTGACGATCCATCCCTCGACTGAACTGACTCTGGGTGAACCTCTTGCCTGCCTTTTATAGCCCCTCCTCCTCCTATCTCTCGTGATGCCACTCGTGATGCTCATACGATCTTTTTTCCACCAATCCGGACTCGTCCTGGTCTCTCGTGAGAGTGGTGTGATCCGCGGGTCCACCAATCAGAGACCACCCCAGCGGCTATAAAAACCAGTGATGCGTCAACGACCCCTCTCATTCGTTGCAGTCCCATTCAAACGGTAAGCATGGCGCTCCATGAAGTGGGTCTCTTGGTGTTCAGTCAGGGGTTTGCCCTCTCCCGAGACGAATATATTATTCGAGAACTGGCTTTTTGTGATTGGACGGGGCATCATCATGGATTGTTCAAATACCTGTTACCCCCAGGCGTGTCGTACCATCAATTATATGATGAAGCCCGAACCCGAGTGGATCGTCAAACCCAGACCGTGCATGGCTTGCCCTTCGAACCGTACACCGCGTACAATCGCCAAGATTTTCATCCCTACGATCAAATGCGAGACGATATCACCCGTTGGTGTCAACAGCATCTCACCTCCCAGCGGAATCGAATCGGGGTTCACACGCTCAACGGCCTGGCTAAAATGTTGCAAGAGCCCCCGTTTGCCTACCCCCTCGTGGTCTTGGAAGGGCAGGGGTGTGGGGACTTGGCCAATCTCCCTATTGCCACCGCCAATGTCATGGCTCACCACGATCATGGACGCAATTGGTGTATGGATCATTCCCACCAGGCCCGCGGGAGTGGCGTCTGGCACAATCATTGCGCCCACGTGCGGGTCTGTCAAATGAGTGGATGGTTACGTCGCCAGACCCATGTCCTACCCACCCTCTCGCAAGTCAATGCCCAACGCGTGTTGTGGCAAAAACGGTGTGATCGATTATTAGACGAACTGTTATGCAACTATTGTACCGAGGCCAAAGACCAGGCGTTTGCCAACGGTCAAGGACTGGATTGGATCCCGGATAATTGCAGTGATTGTCGTAGCGTCTTACATGTCTTTGAACAAACCGTGACCCAGCGGGAATGGGATGTGCCCCTGATGTACGCCGATGATGAACCGCATACCATGTGGGCTTGGACTCCCATCCCTCATCATCCTAAACACTGAATTTTTTCATTTTTTCAGAACATGCTCATTTACACAGGAGGTGCTAAAGGTGTGGACACGCATGTGGAGCGATTATGTCACTTGTATGGTCATACGTGTGTGGTCTTTATCCCACCCTGTCACCCTCGATCCAAGTCCCTCACGCCCTTGACCCAGGCCCAGTTGGATGCTGCCACGCCTACCGTCACCCAGGTGGCGTTTCGATTGGGTCGACAAATCCATCATCCTATCAGCCTCCAGTATATTCAACGCAATTATCACGTGATCCAGCCTGCGTCCCTCGTCCTCGCTTTGGGTCATTTTGATGAATATGGCAAGCATCTGTTGGGTGGCACAGGATGGGGTGTGGTCATGGCCCAGCTTTTAGGCAAACCCCTCTATGTGTTTGATGTGGATAAGGAACAATGGTGTTGGTGGAATCCCACCTTCCAAGAGTATCAAGTCTGTGAAGGCATGACCGAGGAACAAATCGCTCTACCCACCCTCCAAGACAAGACCGCCATTGTCGGCACCCGAGAAGAAGACCCAGTCCTCTATCCCACCCTGGAAGCTTTATTCCAACGCCAATAATAAGAAACATTGCTCTAGAACAAATCACTTTTTTAATGTACATCCATGATAATAAAATGCATGGCTCCCATGGTATTCATGATCAAATCGAGTCTCTTCATGACTTTGTCCAGGGTATCGTAGCTGCGCTTTCTCCGGCCAATCATGACGGGGCGTTCACCCACGGGACACTCGGGGAGCTGATGTTTGAGCCGGTCAATGACAAAAGCAATGCCCTCATTCATTACCCTGTCCAGATTGGGAGGGACCCGTGCCATCTCCGTCATCATGCCAATCTGAAAAAAACAGAAAAAAGTTTGTCTCAGCGTCAAAGTCATGAGAAGAAGAAGGTGGTTCAAAAACTCACTCACCGACAACCGGTGATCCATCATACGATGGCAATGGTGGCAGCCATTTTTCCGGGGGGCATGCAGTCGCACCACCACTTGGTTCCACCACCGATCTTCGCCCAGGTGTTGGGGAAAGCCCGTGAGATCACATTTGGGCAACCTTTTCAACTCTTGTACCACCTTCTTACGCTTGTCCATGGTGTAGAAACACTCCACCCAAAACATAATCTTAATCTGGATTTCCAGAGGCAACACGTGACCAAACGGTTTATTCTCAGGATCCACCAACCCTCGGCAGTCCATGATGACAGTGCTCAGCATGGAATGAGACCTCTCTGCTCTAGTCTGCCTTAGTTATCCGTTTCTTAGACCAATCACCCACTCGCGCCAGGACTTGGGGTCCCACCCAAAAAAGTGTACCCATGGGGGGTACCCCCTAGAATCTCCTCTCGTGATCAAACGCCCCACGTGATGTCTCTCCACCAATCAGCTCCTCTCATCAAGTCTCTAAATCCCGTTGCGCGCCTAGTGTGAGCTCATTCCAGTTCGATCCGTCAAGCTATTCAAGATGGTGAGTTCACTGCAATCGATTGTGTTGTTCTCCGTTCCGATCGCGATGTTAATTGAGATGTTGAAGATTCTCCACCACCTGCCCATGGGCCATGAGTTGTTCCGTGCGCTGTTTAGACGCTGTACGCATGAAGAGTTGCGGGATTGGGCCAAAACGTTCCCGTGGGACCATCCCATCGCCAGAAAACTGGATCACGAGGTCCATCGACGCCGCATGGCTGGTGAGTTTTATAGCTTTTTCATTTTTTGGGGTGTGGGACCCTTTTCCTTATACCTTTTTTGATTTTTTTATAGAGGCATTCAAGGGGTTCGATTTTTTACGATCCGTGTTGTGGCCTGTCCATCTATGTCTTTGTCCTCGACGTGCCCGACTCAATTGGGCCGCGCGGTTCTGGGTTCCAGCCTGTTCGTGTTGATTTTCATTTTTTCGTTAGATTCTTGGGAGTATGTGGAGAATCAGCCTGTGTGTCATATTTATCAATGGGTCGCTCATCCCACCCCTGGCGGAGTCTGTAATCACTGTGAACGGATGATGGATGGCTTAAGACTGGATGATCTGATTGCTGGCAACCGGGAGGGGTCCCTTACCGAAGATGAGATTGT